ATTTCAATTTGTCTCCTGCCAGTAGAACACCTGTAGCATAAAGAAGAATCGAAGCGCTGTTACTCACATGTATTATATTACAATATTAAAGCGGCCCCACATATAATACAATACAACGCCCAAAAGCTTCATTTGCAGCTTTCGTTTTCTCTTTGATTGGATAAGCGAAGATTACACTGATTGTTAGGAAATCGATGCAAGTCTTCGAGAGGCCTGATTATAGATTTCGCGAGCTATGCTCTCAAATCTATCCTTCGGGTAAGCTTCTCTGCTTGTCCTACATTTTCTTTCTCGCTTTCGCTCTCTCTTGGTGACAGGAAAACACGATGGGAAACCGACAGTTTTATGGCCAAGTTTAGTATATGCATATATTTATTCATTTTATTTTAATTAAAGTACCTTACGGGCCCCGTGGGTAGCATGTAAGTGAAGCATGACAATATAAGAAAAACAAGAGAAACAGATATAAGCGTATGAAAAGATAATACAATAGCTACATGCTGGCAATGCGATGCAACAAATTGAATGATGTGATGGAAAACCCTGAAAATCCTCCGAAAATATTGAGTAAATAATACCCATCGTTGAAAAACCAGCGGTGCATTGGTTGCGTTAAAAAACAAAAACAGTAAGAAATGCACGTAGTATGAGCATATACAAAACACGAAACACAAACTACAGAACACAGCGAATCATCGCAAAAGTAATGAGAAATACGAAAGAAATACTGAGAAACAGCCAGTTAAAAAGAAAAAAAGGCGTTAATTTGACGATAGCTCACAGCTTGGTACATTCCGCACTAGAGATGAAAAACAGAAAGTTTGCGATGAAACGTTACAGCAGAATGTATAACTTGGTCAATGTGAATAATTTTCACGACGAGAACTGAAGCACTAGGTGTTAATATTTATTTATCTTTATTTGTTAGCGCGACAGTGTCGTTAGGCAGCGAATTCCGATAAAAATGACTAGAAAAGAGCGAGGCCGAGCAGCTAAATGCGATGTTTGCATAAATGTGATTACAGCCTAATTCACTGTGAACACGTCGTGATGTACAATGTGCACGTACCAATGGCAAGTTTGATGGCCTTACTTCATACACATATTTGTGGGTAAGGACTAGAGTGCCATGTCACGTCGAACACTTAGCGTTTCAAAGGCATGGTTGAGTTTTATAAGCGTTTTTCTAGACCGGCAGTTTAATGAATGGATGAATGCGAAAGTTTATTTCAATTCCTGAGGTGCACGAATCAACACACAGCGGGCCGCTCCCACGTTGGCACAGTCAGGGAAGCCCGACCACCGCATCGTGGGTCCTCTGGACAGTCTACAGTTGATCCCTGACATCTGGTCTCTTGATAGCGGATAACCGCGTTCCTTAATCGCAAGAAATAAGTCGATTAGCTCTAGTTTTATTACGCTCAGGCATTCAGATTACGTATTCATTACAGGGAGACAATGTGAAAGACGCAAATGCAAGCTGCGGAAGTAAAAAGTCCAAGAACACTAGTCTCTGCCAATTTCCGTAATATGATTCAATTATCGCAGTCGTGGGGCAGCTTTTGAAATGATCAGCCATCATTATAAAGTTAGCTTTCCTGTACTTTTCTCGCAGGTTTCCTTTTCATCTTTTTTCCCCTCTTTTCCTCTCCCTTTAGTGCATGCCAGGAAACTAGATGATAGAACATGGGTTGACCTACCTTCATTTTTCTCAATTTATTTACTCTCTCGCTTTCACTGAGTATTTCTGAAATGATGCTGCATGGGCAGATTATGATCATTTACTCACACTTCAGTTTCTTTATTCTCAGTTGGATCTCTTGGAACGCTTTACTTTCTCTCTTTTTTTACGCGCATCATAAGCTAAATTCCTACTGAGTCGTTTCGTATGCCGTTCCAATATTTAAATATGGCCCCGCAAGAATCTTCTAAAAATATATAGCAAGTATATAGAAATTGTACGTAAAATGTGCCGACGACTTAAAAAGATATGCAATTATTGGAATGATATAATTCAATCTTCACGAGCCTTTCAGACGAGCTTGATGCCGTGTCGTCACGACACCAGGCGGCCGCGCAACGTACCCTACGCAGCCCGCACACGCTTGCTGTGTGGTGACGACGAAATTTGATGCGACAGAGAAAGCTAGATTTTGCCGTTTTTTTGTGACTTTATATTGCAGTTTTCCTAATGTTAGCTGGTTTGCGACAAAAGTTGACTTCCTTTATTAGGCAGACATTGGTCAGCTACGTTTACATTTTATCTCTTTCAACATGTTGCAAGAAGCTTTAGAACCAGCAGTTACATTGGTATGTAGCGAGAAAGCGTAGAGCGTCATATCACAAAGGCAATCGAAACACTATAGAGGTAATCAAGAATGCCCAAGGCAAGCAGCGTTAACACTTTATAAGTAGTGGAACTTCTACCCTTAGTGTGGCCGCCTCTTGTTCCATTGAACTTTGCTGGAAGCTGGTCGTTGTAAGCGAGGTAGGCTACATTCTGGAAATGTAAAAAAAAGAAAATGATCAAAGGTGGCCCTAAATGATGCAAGGCTGGTCACACCAAAGCTGGTAGGCACTTAGCTAGCGTGGCATGGCTAGGCTTTTAGCCTATCACCTCTCTTTTATACAGCTCACTGTGCTGAACATGACCCCTTTTTTTCTTTTTTTCCATTTTCTATAATTCTTTCTATTTTTCTGTGCTATGACCAAATCTTTCCCCTCCACTTTTACCGACGTCCCTCCTCCTCAGCCTAACTTATATTTTTACACCCTCTTTTTATATTGTAGAGTAGAACTCTCAGTGATGGAAGTGTCTTTATACTTTTCGGAGCATACTTTGGAGCAGGAAAAGCCCTGCTTTGGATCAGCCGTAAGTGTTTTCAGATCCGTAAAAAATGGCAATTTAGAGCCGATATTGGTGTTTTGAAACAGATATTATATTTGCCATACATAAATTGGAGTTCGGAGCATTGTCGAAGCCTCTCATGAATATCACTATTTGTTATAAAATATATTCAACAGACAACAATCAATGTAAATACCATGTAGCAAACATTGGTAGGTTGTCGAAATGGTGCCGTAAAAAGAGCTACTACAATTTAAAGTATTAGTATTTTTGGCAGAAATGAAATCAAAACCGGAAAATCTGGCGCTAATTTCATAAGTAATTACAGTCCCACATAACTTTTGACGAATAAGCAGTAGATAATTTCTATCAGATAAAAACAATCTTGCTAAGTTTCACGCGTCACCACATTAGCCTGGGTGTCCAGATGAGAAAAAAAAAACCATATGAGCCCTATGCTTCATATGCCGATTCTTGTCGAACAAATGAGATCTGAGTCTATAATGCTGCACACTGGAAGCACACTGGGATGATTGCACACATATTCTTTTCAGTTTCTTTAGGACTTATGAGTTGGTCAAACAGCGAAATTCTCGTCATTCTCATTCTCTCAGCGTCATTTCAGAGCAGGTTTAGATAAATTACTTACAAAAATGACTGTTTGAAGGAGCACAGAGAAGCAATTCTCTTTTGGATCAGTTTGGAGCAATCGAAGCAGCACTTCTATCACTGCACTCTAAAATGCTGTTCCGAAAACACATCACAGTTTATTATGGAATCTCCGCAATCGCTGCAACTACCTCTTCTTTTTACTCAGGAGACTATATCCACTACCCGCTTATGTCTCAAGCGTGTCGTGCCAGAAGACGAAGAAAAGTATCCACAAGTTTAATCCTGCAATATTCTAGACAACAGGCTGGTAGGTTTTCTGGTGCATGCACAGACACGTAACATAATAGCTACGGATGCTTCCATGAATGAGGAAAGGGCAAGCGTAAGAACAGTCTCCCAGTCACTTGGCTGGTTATTCGCTGTGAGGCTACCGAATTTCGCTCCAGGTTTCCGAAGCTGAGCTCATGACTGCTATCATGACACTGCAAAAACGTCTGGTGGATGCGAACAGGAGCGTTAGATCTCCCAATAGTTCAGGTTGTTCCTGTGGTCGAATACTTCCCTGCAATCAGGTATAAAGTATTAGCTATTCACACAGATGGGATGGACGCAATGACAAGTTAGACAGAATATAAGCGCCTAAAAGTTTCATGAAAAACGCACTGGAGCGAATCTCGACCTTCAGAAGCCACGATCACCAGATTTTAATGCCGTGTCCCCCTAATAAACCTACACTTACACTGGTCTGGTCTGGCGATATCACCTTCTGCCAATTCCGCATAGAACTAGAAAATATTGCAAATAATTTTTGTCATTTTAAAGATATAAAGTATTAGAACTCGACTTTTCAATGCTCCTCTTTCAAAAACATGCTTACCGTTACCCGCGGGCAATGTTTTAAGCTTCGGTGCCACAGGCTTGGAATACTGCCACAGGGATGTCTTTGATGCCATGAGTAAATTCATTATAACTACTCAACGAGTACCATTTTAATCTGATATTCAAATTTTTTTGGGATCTCGATAAGGTATAATGTAACTAATCTCTGCGGAATTGCTCACATCCGGTTAAAGCGAATGTCTAGAATACAGCTCAATACCACAATACTTGTTTAAATTTAGCGTATTACGTATTATTGTCATTTCATTTCTTTATTTTTTTAAATCACCTATCATTCTAAACTAACAATTCAAAGTCTAAACGTCGCATTCTCGGTCAATCTCCAAATTGGGTATTTGCGTTTAAATTTAGAGTATTACGTATTATTGTCATTTAATTTCTTTATTTTTTTAAATCACCTATCATTCTAAACTAACAATTCAAAGTCTAAACGTCGCATTCTCGGTCAATCTCCAAATTGGGTATTTGCCACTTATTGAAGGAAAACACGCACACAAGCAAAGATTTCCCCCTTCTCCTGCAAACGAGTGGCCATGAGCACATAAAAAAAAAAAAGATCAGACGGAGCTTGTCAGAATGGATTCCGGCTTGATACCTTCAATGCTGACTGTGTCTTCATGTTTATAACACAGGATTGTAAAATGATGTTTAGAATGCTTAATGACTAGCAAAGGACCGTCGTAGCAAGGCTTAAGAGTACGGCAAGATGTATGAACACGAACAAAAACGTGTGAAGATGTCTATGTTTCCCGACAGAAAAAACATCGTTCTTAGTGGGAGCTGAAGCTCGTGATGGGCGCAAATTTTGCATGAAGATCCGCAGACGCCTGAAAAAAGAAGATGGATTCAAAACACTGCGTACTAACGGGGATGATGAGGTCACCAGGCAAACGCAGTGTGCAGCCATAAAACATCTCGGCTACAGAGCAGGCAGGTTCTGGCCGAAGTGTTGAACGAAAACCAAGAAGCACGATGAGGAGGTGTCATACCTAATCTTCGGAGTGCGGAGTGAGGCTGCGAGGCGAGTGCTGGTTTCAGATGACGATGAAGTTTCACTAGAATGCCATTGGATTCTGAACGATACACAGTTGTGCGAATGCACGCACAACCTAGAAGAGACGTAACAGAAATGGAAAGCGCGGACTCAAACTCTCTGCCTAGACCAGTAGTCACCGTTGATGGTACGCCGAAACGACTAATCCAGGGAGCAAAAAAGGTACGAGAAACTGTTACTGCCTTGATGCCAGGCATTGGAGGTGCTTCAGGCCACCTAGTGTACTCATAGAGAAACATACTTACATAAAGAGCGGACACTCCCGTAGGGCCCTGTGGCCCAGCTAGTGTGCTGCTTTCAGCGCTACGAGTGGTTGATCAAACCCGATAATGTCTTCAGAATAAATAAAATAACAAAATTTGTTTATTTCCGACGCGGGGATTTGAACCCTTGCCCTCACGCTCCGAAAGCGAGTGTCTTTATGTCACGTAAGAGTGAGGGTAGCCCGAAGACAGGAGACCGGGAGATTAGTAGAAATAGAAGGAGATCCGTTTATTTGGTGGACTTGCGCCCACTAAAGGAAAACAGACGCGCCGGCTTAGCGGGTGGCGAACAGCGCGTTCGACGGCCGTCGAAGAACAGAATGTCCCACTTGAACGCAAGGCGCGTTCACCATCCGAGATACAGTCGCCGTAGCGTCTGGCGCTACGGTGACTCCTCGCGACATTGCTCCCCTCCTCAACGTAAGCATCGACCCGATGCTTTGTTTAAAATAAAACCAAAACAAAAGGACAGCCTGTGCGAAAGTAAATGGTAAATAAGCACGAATCACGCACACATAAACAAAACAAGAGATGCAAACAGGGAGCCTCCTTTAGCGCGCATGATAGGGCTTCAAACGCGCGACGTGTACCACTTCTTGTCGTGCGCGGCGTCGTTGGGATGAGCTAGCCCCATCAGGGACCACTTCATAGTCCACTTCACCCACTTTACGGATGACTTTGTATAGGCCGAAATAACGGCGCATGAGTTTTTCGCTTAATCCTCGGCGGCGAACGGGCGTCCAAATCCAGACTTTGTCACCTGGCCTGTATGTTAAATCACGTCTCCGCCGGTTGTGGCGTCTTGCGTCGTTTCGCTGTTGGTCTTTTATGCGCAGACGAGCAAGCTGCCGGGCTTCTTCTGCGCGCTGAAGGTAGGCGGTCACGTCTAGGTTGTTTTCATCGGTGACATTAGGCAGCATGGCGTCCAGGGTAGTAACGGCATCCCTCCCATGGACGAGATTAAATAGTGTCATTTTAGTGGTCTCCTGCACTGCGGTGTTGTAGGCGAAGACCACGTAAGGCAGAATTAAGTCCCTGGTCTTGTGTTCTGTGTCCACGTACATAGCGAGCATATCGGCAATGGTCTTGTTCAAGCGTTCCGTGAGACCATTTGTCTGCGGATGGTACGCAGTTGTTCTTCGGTGATCTGTATGAGTGTAATGTAAGATTGCCTGAGTAAGATCAGCCGTAAACGCCGTTCCCCTGTCTGTTATTAGTACCCCAGGTGCGCCATGACGGAGGAGAATTGATTCGACAAAAAATTTGGCAACTTCTACGGCTGTGCCGTTCGGAAGGGCCTTAGCTTCAGCGTATCGGGTAAGGTAATCAGTGGCCACTATGATCCACTTGTTACCGGATGTTGACGTGGGGAAAGGTCCTAGCAGGTCCATACCAATCTGTTGGAATGGTCTCGATGGGGGGTTCAATTGGCTTGAGAAATCCAGCTGGTTTTGTTGGAGGTCTCTTCCGGCGCTGACATTCACGGCAACTGTTGACGTACCGCGCAACATCTGAGGAGAGGCGGGGCCAGTAGTATCGTTCTTAAATTCTGTGGAGTGTGCGTGTAACACCGAGGTGGCCTGCAGTGGGTTCGTCATGTAACGCTTGTAAAATTTCTTCTCTGAGGCTGCTTGGGACGACAAGAAGGTAAGCTGCCTTATTCGGTGCGAAGTTCTTTTTAACTACCACCCCGTTTTGCACACAGAAGGAGGATATCCCACGCTTGAACAGTGCAGGCGGTATGGAGGCCTTTCCTTCGATGTAGTTGATCAACTGTTGTAGGATCGGGTCTGAGCGCTGCTGTAATGCAAAGGTGCTGCTGC